TTCCCTGGTTTCTTCCATAATTATTTAATGAGATTTAGGTATATTCTCCATTTATAACCCATTCTGCACTGCACTCCCACAATCAAAATAGTCACCCAATCTCAGGGCTTATAATATGGTTCAAAGGATTACTCTATAGTTGGAAACTTCACTTTCTTGTCTGATCTGATATAACAAATGGACGAAGTGGTCTGTTTCAGTAGCTTTGCAAAGGTTATGTTGATGGAATTATAGTTTTTATTGTTGAATAAAAAAGCATTAGAATTTAAATATTTATTTATAACTTGCGCCATATGCTCCCGCAGTCTTCTCTACTTAATCAAAGACAGATGGTTTAAGATTAAAGGCCATTAAACTAATGGTGGTTATGCATCCCATTTTTTTCTGCTTTCATTGAAATAAATGGAAGGAAGTTAATTTTGCATTCATTACTGTCCTGATGGCAGTTCTGAAGTGCTAGGCATTTGCACATGAGAACAAGCGAAGCAGAGTGAGTGATTTTCAGGAAGCTTAGCCTCGTGCTACTGGTATTAACAAGCATTTTCCTACTTCATTCTGATAAGTGTTCATGAAATGTTTGAGTACTGTTTGCATATACTGACTTCTTATGTATGTTCTAGTCACACTGGGAATGGTATGTGATCTAGGCACATTTCCAATATACCTTGCATTGCTTACATTAAAATAGTGCACAGTAAAATAAATATTCCCCAGTAAACTATTTGTTCAAATTCTTTGCCTAGCACTTGCATATTGCAACTTTCAGTGCTGCTGGCAGTCCTGCTTCCCTGGTCTTCACCGGAAAGAGTTAAAGTGGAACTAAGCCTGGGTTCACACTGATGCGGTCCAGAATCTGCAGCGTTTTCTGTGCTAATTCTGCATCGCATCAGAATCGCACCCTGTTCATGTGAACCACTGCGGGTCTGTATGTTAAGTTAACAAAAGCCTGAAATCGTTTTGAAAAACGCAGTGCGATGTGCAGAATTGGATTGCATAGGTGTGAATATCCATGTGATCCGATTCTAGTGAAGACCAAAAAAAGGGTCCTGCATCTTTTTAGTGCCAGTGCAGTGTGATTTGAGCCATACAAAATGTATGGCTCAAATTGCACCGCACACAAATCGCATGTGATTTGCACAGGAATGCGGTGCAGTTCCTGTGCAAATCAAATGCGATATACCGCACCGCATACAGTATATGTGAACCCAGCCTAAACCCTCCTATCAATTTGAACAAAGGAAGGTGCCATCTTAGTCTCTGTTTGATCTTCAACTGCCATGTTGCTGAACATGTGATCATCATGACACCAGTCATTGATGGTTTGACAGTTTGGTTGAGAGCACAAGCCAATTTGACAGTTACATTCCTGGAACATGCTTGTTTTTTGGCACTGTTTAATTAATGGGTTGAATTCTGCTTTAATGGGGGACAACATACTTTCCAGCAAGTCTGTTTGTCAACAGAAAGGAGGAGGAAGTAGGTGGGAGTAGTAGGGGAGTGCTTTGCTATACTAGGCTGCAGGGCTGTGTGTTTCTATTGATGTACACACTGTAGGGAGACATAACTCTATTTCCTGCATGAAGGGGGATTCCATTGGACACTTTAAGAGAAAGGAGCCACACTAAAAAAGGAACATAGGCACAAGGATTAAAAGATAAGGAAGCTGCATACTCCATAAATAATTGAATCAGCTGCTGAAAGTGCTTAAAAATTGAGGAGTTAATATAACATTACAATTATTATGTATCTCCAGCTACATGACAATGTTGCCACAACTTCACACAAGCTGCCTGCTTATTTTCATTAACCATATTCCATGATTGTTATCCTGAAGATTACATTTAAAATGGTATTTAAGGCACTATGCGTTCTGTATGAGCTACCACCAGAATGCACAATTTATACCAATCAAGAACCTACAGAGAACAAGAGATGACTGTGAGGAACTTGATTTATGGAGTCTTTTGATTGCTTTCATCAACCTCTGAGTCCCACCTATCTCAGGTTCTGCTACTTGAGTTGGCCATAAGTGTTTAGATGTGTCCAGGGGTGAGGAAAAAAATAAATGAAAGAAAGTGTCAAATTTGTACATGAAGTACTTTCATGTGGAACCCTCTTACACTGCTTAATCCACTTATGACTGCCCAGTAACTATGGACCTGTGTAACCTTTATAGCACTAAATCACTTCCATTTCTATTTTTCTCCTTCCCTTTGTATCATTTTACCAGGTAGCATGTCAATCACTGTAATGCAAGCAAAAGTAATATTTCATGACCAATCGGGAGCTTATTATGTCACTAGGACATATTTGTATCCTGAACAGATGTCAAAGCACAAAAAAATCATGCAAAAACAGTGAAAAAAATTAAACAGGTAGTAGTCTGATGATACTAATCCTAGAGTCTCATGCTAACCAGCAACAAAAAAACCCTAATAACGCACCACTGAAAATTCCGCTTTGATGTACGTTATCAATCATCTTAGTGGCTCCCAAGGAAAGATCAACAACTGATGAAGGTCCAGTGCTTTATTCCCTGCTTCTTTTAAGGTCATTTTATAAATTAAATGCCATCCTGCCCCTTCATTTCTTCACCAGAATGGAGTTGGAAATCTGGAAGAACTAGATGCTGAATAGAAGCTGCCAACTTCCATTGACCAAAATGATTACTTCATCAGAAGAGAGTTTCACTCTTTTGCATGTATAGCCAAAACTATTTTTGTTTAGTTCTGGATAGAGTACTGGTGAGTTAGAATGGCTGTAAAGTTTTTATTGTTGTCTGTTTCTGTCCTGCGTAGACTGACCCTTTCTCTATGTCCCGGTAACTACTATAACCAAGGCAAAAAGTGTTGGGAATTCCAAAATGTTCAAATTTTGGTTATCAATAAAATTAGAGATGAAGTGAAAATCTCCACTGGTGACACCTGCTTTCTCACAAGTTCTTTTGGATCTCTAGGACAAGAAGTAAAGGGAAATTTAACCCATCCCTACTCTATCCAAACAAGGTCACCTGAAAAAAGTTTTAATGTACTTACTTTTCTGGTGGACTGTGTACTGAAAAGCTGCTACATCTGCTCCCCAGCCACTGCAAGTATTCAACTATTCGATGAGTCAAATACTTGTGACCCATGTCAGTGTATAGGACATATGAGCCAGTTGGATGAACCACAGTGGCAGGGGCAGAAGCAATTATTCTACACACCTGGAATTGCTGAATACCTGCAATAGCTGCGCGTTGCTTATGTATAGCATATTGCACTCACTGTGCACACAGCACTGATAATGTTTTGATTACCAGTTTGCATTCTTTCGAGTCCTGAAAAGAAATTAGCCTGGCTATGTTAAGCCCCTTGTTACCATAAAAGTACAATTGTAATACTAATGAGCTAAGGCCTAGTACATATGATAAAAAAAAATTGGACAAGAAAAACCCACATTTGCAGCGATCGTCTGATAATCTATTCATAGTACACAGCTTTCAAGAGCCGATCACAACAGTTCATGAGAAATTATCTGAAGGGACAAGCACAAAAATGAACATTTCATCAGTTTAATCAATACTGTATCAGTACTGTATTTGTCCATAAAAAAAAGTGACCAAAAGTGTGCATGATCGGAAACATGAACACAACAAAACAATCTTCCTATACAGCAAGAATGCTTCTAAATATGAAAAAAAAAAAACATTGTTTACAGTACGTGAGGAGAACGAATCTATGTGCACAGGCCATGAATACACTGCCCAAATGGGTATAGCTAAAGGTGTGACAAACAAAGGGGTCACATGTACGTGACATCACTTCCAATTACACGTTGTACATTGCTACGCACAAGGGAAGTTGTACTGGGTCGTACAAGAATTTTTGTATGCTTAGAAGCATTCTTGTATTTGATATGAGAGCAGCATGCAAAAAAAAACATAAATTATCATTCGTCCAATGGTCTCATCATGTGTACTAGGTATGTGTATATAAAACTTCAATAGCACCAAATAAACAGAACAGTTATTTGGAAAAATGTTGAGTACCGTATTTTCCAGCATATAAGATGACTTTTTATACTTAAAAGCATATCCCAAAAATCGGGGGTTGTCTTATATGCGGGGTATACAATGTGAACCTTTAGTTTGTTTGGGCCAAGCTGTCTCAAAACGAACGTCCCTAATACATACAGTATTACCGCACATCCAGCGGGCTGACAGATTAGTGGGTGTATATTTAATCAAGTCTGATGTTCAAATCTGATGTTTTTAAATGGTGTTGCCTCGGAAGGGGGGGTAGCCTTATTTGACGAGTATAGCCCAAAACCTATGTTTTAACTGGAAAATTAGGGGGTCATCTTATACACCCAGTCACCTTATACGCCGGCAAATGTGATATATCTCATTGTGTATCCAATTTTAAGATAGAAAGACAAACCCCCAAAAATTGTTCAAATATATTAATAGTAAAAATGTTTAGTTCCGAGCACGTAGGCCCTTTACAAAATAATCTAGTGGGTGATTGGGGACAAAGAAGAACATGGGAGAGCTCTTGTCCACAATGGGTATGGTATTGACACAGCTCCAGATGATCCACATTGGCTCACAATTGATATGATCTAAAAATATTTAGACAGAATAAAGGTGAATAAAGCACCTGGACCGGATGGCATACACCCACAGGTTCTTAAAGAATTGAGCTCTGTTATTTCAAAGCTATTGTTTCTAATTTTTAGGGACTCTTTAACCGCTTCCCTACAGGGCAATTTCCAGCTCTCAGCACTGTCACACTTTGAATGACAATTGCGCGGTCATGCAACACTGTACCCATATGAAAATTTTATCATTTTTTGAGACAGATAGAGCTTTATTTTGGTGGTATTTAATCACCTCAGGGTTTTTTTATTTTTTCTTAAACAAACCAAAAACTGCTGAACATTTTGAAAAAAAAAATGTTTTTTCTTAGTTTTTGTTATAAAATATTGGAAAAATAAGTGATTTTCTCCTTCACTGATGTGCGCTAATGAGGCTGCAGTGATGGGCACTGATAGGTGGCACTGATGGGCACTGATGAGGAGGCACTCGTAGGTGGCAAGGATGGGCATTGACAGGCATCACTGATGGGCACTGAAAGGCAGCAATGATATATGGCACTGATAGGCGGCACTGATATATGGCACTGTTAGGTGGCACTGACTGGCACTGTTAGGCGGCACTGACGGGCACTGATAGGTGGCACTGATGCACACTGATAGGCGGCACTGACTAGCACTAATAGGCAGCACTGACTGGCACTGATAGGTGGCACTGATTGGCAGCACTGATATGTGGCACTGATTGGCATTGATAGGTGGCACTGACTAGCACTGATGGGTGACACTGAAAGGCAGCTCAGATGGGCACTAATATGTGGCATTGATGTGCACTGGTAGGCACTGATATGTGGCACTGATGGGCACTGGCACGTGGCACTGTTCAGCACTGACATCTGGCACTGATGGACACTGACAGGTGGCGCTTATGGGGCCACACTGATCATCAGGGCACACTGATCATCAGTGCCCTGATGATCAGTGTACATGTCCCCTCCAAGGAATGCCAATTACCGGCTCTCCTCTCCTCTCGAGCTGTCAGCGTGACAGCTCGTGAGGAGAGAAATGCCGATAACCGGAATTTACCTGTTTACATGTGATCAACTGTGATTGGACACAGCCGATCACATGACCGAGCCGACATCTTCGGCTCTTTCCGTAGATCGGTGATCCGCTGTGTCCAAGGGACACAGCGCACCACCAATTGCTGTGCTCCGCGCTCCTGAGCCGCGAGAATGGGAGGATGTCATATGACGTCCTCCTAGAACGAGAGAACCACCTTGGGCCCGTCATTGGACTATATGGCGGGCAGGAGGTAGTTAATGACTGGTACAGTACCACTGGATTGGCGTAAGGCCAATGTGGTGCCAATATTTAAAAAGGGGTCAAAATCTTTACCAAGTAATTATAGACCTGTTAGTTTAACTTCTATAGTTGGGAAGATACTTGAGAGTTTAATAAAAGACCACATAGATGAGTTCTTGCAGGAGAAAAAAATTTTAAGCAACAGACAGCATGGATTCATGAAAGACAGAAGTTGTCAAACAAATCTGATTTCTTTTTATGAGGAGGTGAGCAAAACCTTGGATAGAGGGGTGGCGGTGGACGTGGTGTACTTGGATTTTGCAAAAGTGTTTGACACAGTTCCCCACACACAGCTAATGTGTAAGGTAAAGTCTACGGGCTTTTAAAAATCCATATGTAAATGGATAGAAAACTGGCTAAAAGATCGTATTCAGAGAGTAGTGAATAATGATTCATACTCTGAAATGTCTAGGGGTGTCAGTGGTGTACCCCAAGGTTCAGTGTTAGGACCCTTACTTTTTAATATATTTATAAACGATATAGGGTCTGGGATTAAAAATACCTTTTCAGCCTTTGCAGATAGGCACCAAGCTGTGCAGTGGAATAACGTCCTTACAGGATGTCTCCAACTTACAAGCCGACCTCAATGCACTGTTTAATTGGGCAACTATGTGGCAAATGAGGTTTAATGTTGATAAATGTAAGGTTATGCACTTGAGGGCTAAGAATATGCATGCATCATACATACTAGGGGGGGGTACAACTGGGGGAATCAATGGTGGAGAAGGACCTGGGAGTTCTGGTAGACCACAAGCTTAATAATAGCATGCAATGCCAAGCTGCGGCTTCTAAAGAGAGCAAAATCCTCTGTTGTATTAAAAGAGGTATAGACTCCAGAGAGAGAGATATCATTTTACCCCTGTACAAATCATTAGGAATATGCAGTTCAGTTTTGGGCACCATTCACAAAAAGAACATTGGGGAACTGGAGAAAGTACAGAGAAGGGCAACTAAACTGATAAGAGGCATTGAAGGAGCTCAGCTATGAGGAAAAATTAGAGGAACTAAATATATTCTTTCTTGAGAAGAGGAGATTAAGGGGAGGGATATGATCAACATGTATAAATACATCAGTGGGTCATATAGTGAACTCAGTGTAGAGCTATTCACCCTGAGGTCATCACAGAGGACAAGGGGGCACTCTTTACGTCTGGAGGAAAAGAAATGTAATCTCCAAACATGGATAGGTTTCTTCACAGTGAAAGCTCTGAAAATGTGGAATAGACCCCCTCAAGAGTTGGTTCTGGCCAGCTTAGTGGATTGTTTTAAAAAAAGGCCTGGATTCTTTCTTGGATACACAGAATATAACTGGATACTAACATTTAAAAGTAAAGTTCATCCAGGGAATATCCAATTGCCTCTTGGGGGATCAGGAAGGAATTTTTCCCCTGCAGGAGCAAATTGGATCGTGCTTTGGTGGGTTTTTTTTGCCTTCCTCTGGGTCAACTGTGGGTATAGGATTATAACTTTTTTTTTTTTTTTTAAATGGTTGAACTGGATGGACTTTTGTTTTTTTTTTTCAGCCAGACTAACCATGTAACTATGTGTCTATTCCTTACTGCAGTAGTTATTAATTTGGAAACGCTGATCAACATGAAAATAGAAGTTGCCTAAAATTTCCAGAACACTAGAAAAACTTTTTCAATAGAATGGTCCTGGAAAAGTAAGTATAAATACGTTTATTTTAGAGGTGACCTATTTTGTAAGTGATCCTGTGGTGACAGGGTCACTTTAGGAACATGAATGATTCCTGTGCATGACTACTGCAGTAGATGGACTTGAGATGATATCTCTGCCAGATGTTAAAAGTTAGTGAGTGAAAATCCTAATCACAAAAACACTCTAAAACATCACAGTAGAGACTTGGATGGCCCTTCATTTTTTGTAGTAGTTGTTTAAACCTGAGAACAAGCAACATAAAAAATGAATATACACGTAAATAAAATATGTGAAAACTATATTCAATATTCGAAGTATGAATTATCCTAATTTCATATTTGTCATCTCCTAGGAGGGTCACGTTTGAATGCAATTTTCTTTCACTGGCCATTATTGTGTGCTATTTCAGCAATAACTTATCTATGTGATAGAATAAAAAAACTACAAAGCTTATGCTCAGGATATTTCCATCTCATCATCTCTGCTTGCCTATGAAGAGCATAATTCTGCTTTTTCCTCTTTGAAGGGAGCAGGATTATGTTATATTTCATATTCCACATTATAAAACAAGGTGAGTAACAGAGAAAGGAAGCAAATGCTTTGATATAACTGTAGGTAAATTTGTAGAATTGCTCCAGGACATAAGTAGGCTGAAAATGCAGAAGCAATACTTAAAATGCGCAATGCAAAATCGGAATAGTTAAGACTAGGCCAGTTGAGACATTGACTCATACAATATGCTGTGATAAAGAAGTCTGAAGTCTCTAACAAGCTAAATGTTCCTCTTTTCCATTGTCAGACATATGAAAGCTCACTGTAATAGCAATCATTGCAGGAATGCATCTGTAAGGAAAGTGAATGTTAAGAGGTTAATAGGAAGAATTACGCATGCTGTGATGCTACTTATATTACAGGAACATCAAGCATTAGTAGAAGAAGCTAGCCGAAATCACAGCACTCTTCAGAAGAGCTCTTTAAAGTACTGTTGCCATTCACCTTGATCAAGGCACTACCAGCAAGAGTTCTCAGGACAGATATCAATGTTGGGGGTAGGAACAAATATGACGGACTCCAGATCTACTTTTTTTTTTTTAAGTGTTTTCAGCAGCTGATTTAACCACTTACTGAGTATGCAACTTCTTTATCTTTCAAAAATGCCTATGTTCCTTTTTTAGGCTGATGCTATAACCACTACTCCAGGTTTCCTGTTTCAGGGTGGCTCCTTTCAGATGCATTGTCCTGTGGAGCCACCCTTGTATGCAGGAACTAGAGTTGAGTCTCCCTACTACATTGTGTGGATCAATAGGAAACACAAAGCCCCGTAGCCTAGGATGACACTCCCCTGATCTTCGCATCCCCCCCCCTCACTTTTCCATTCTAACAGACTGATTGGAGACTGCACTGTCCACTGCTATCTTTTTCCTCAAAAAATCGGAAGTTCAGGTAAGTTGCACGGAGAGAGCAGAAGCCAGTAGCATTGAAAGCTGTCAACTGCAAGCTCTGGGGTAAAAATTGTAACACATATTTTACTGAGGAATGTTTATTTTATTGTAATGAATGTGTTAAACTAACATACTAAGAGTTTGGTGAAGCTAAGAAGAATTCCACTCCCTGGATAGGAAGTGAGGAAAATGTCCCATCTTCCAATTTCTCTCCCTAGCTAACTGTATACTGGCATGCTTTCAGCAAGCAATGATATATGCCAGCTTATATATTCTGTGATTTATGTTTTTTTCATGTAATAGTAACGCAAATTGCACCAAACACAAAACACAAGATAAACAATATGCTAGTAATAGTCCTTGTTATTCTTGATTCTAAAGGCCAATTTTTTTTGTAAACAACAAACATGTCTATACTTACCAGCTGTGTGTAGTGGTTTTGCACTGAGCAGCCCGGATCCTCCTCTTCTTGGGTCCCCTGCTGGTGCTCCTGGCCCATCCTCCTGTCGGGTGCCCCCACAGCAAGCAGCTTGCTATGGTGGTAATCGCTCTTCCGCGTGTCCATCCACACATGAAGCTGCGGCTCGGCCCCCTCTCTCTCCTTATTGGCTGTGATTGACAGCAGTGGGAGCCAATGATTCCTGCTTCTGTCTCAGCCAATGAGGAGATGGAGTCCAGGTGTAGCCGAGACTCCAGTGCACATCTCTGGATCGAGAGGGGGCTTAGGTGAGTATTAGGGGGGCTGGGAGAGATGCTGCACAGAGAACATTTTTTATCTTCATGCATGTAGGTAAGAAACCTTGAGCCTTTAGAATCACTTTAATTATGGAAACCTATGTTTGGTATCTCTACAAGCGAAGATATACTGCACTTGACTTAACCAAGTCTGATCCAACAGCTTTCTCAGATACATAATAAGCCCTAAAGTCAGTCTAGATTATGATGCCCCTAGCACAATTTACTGATTGGTGATCAGAAATTCAAAGATATTGCACATATTGTTAATTCAAACAGAAGAAAATAAATCACCAATTTAAGAATAACTAACCTCAAAAATATATGTAATGTATTGCAGCTTACCAGTTCTTAGAGGGGGTGGCTGCATTAGTTCTCTTTTTTTTCCATTTATTTTCACCTGGTGATCCTATCAGTAACTCAACACCTGTACAAGGGTGAAAACACTCGCTAACCGTACTGTATACACAGAGAAGCAACATTGTCACCCTAGGACAAAACTAAAGAACTATCTCCCTCCTTTTCTCTTCTTCATAACACATGAGGATGTTTTGTAGTCCACATACACAGTATAATCAACAGGCTTTTTTTGCACTTATCAAACAGATGTAACAAAATTATTTCAATGGTATATTTAACAGACTGAAAGGGAGAAAATAAGAGAAGTTTATTGGTAAGGCTTGCATACACTTTAAACTAATAGTGTGTTGCACTAAGGTAAGATTAAACTGCAGTTGACTAGACCATAGGCCGAGAACAAACTGTATTCCAGTTGGTTTAATAGTCTGAATTGCAATAATTTAGAACCCAAAATAATTTGATTTGCAGATTGGATAGATAACACTATTCTGCTGCAAGGTGGATAATAGAGCACAACAACTGGTAATGGGGATTGTGGGCCCTATGGG